AATGTTGAAATGTTTGGAAATATTCCATAGATTGATGAAATGCAGTGGTTAGATGAGAAGCAAGCGGCTCGCAGGGGAGCTGAGCACAGTGAACCTTGAAGCTGAGTCTGGGGAACTGGGAGTCTTACTGCGCAGGACTGTGTAGACCGTGCAGATGGTTTGGATTTTATTCCGAGAGTGTTATGAGACCTCAAGTTTTAAACCAGGGAGGAGATCTCCGTTTCAGAAGGATCACACTGGCTGCACTGTAGATGGTGGATTAGAACAGAGTCTCTTAACAGTACTCCAGCTAAGAGATAAAGGTGCCCTGATTCTGATGGTAACAGTTGCAGTGAAAATAGATGGGTGAGATTGAGGGATATTTGAGGGTGGAGGGCATTTAGGAGCTATTAATAGAAATTACTTAACAGAAATGACAAGATTTGGTGATCGATTAGGTGTAGGAGAGATTGAAATACTCAGAAAGGTGAGGCGAGAAAGCTGATGAGTATATGGGACATGTTGATTTTGAAGTGTATCAAGTATAAAAGAGTGGGCAACAAAGCCGTAAGAGAAAAGGCAGCCTGCCATGGAGGAATAGAAAGGCAGGAAGACACACTGGCCATCGCTGATAAAGACAACTCTAGGGGTCAAAAGATAAAGGTTAACATAGCCTTGGATTTTAGCATCAAGGAAGAAATTATGGCCTTGGATAGTCTGTTTCCATGAAGAGGAGGAGGATAAAGGGGAGACAGGCAAGCAAGAAAGCAGGAAGAGGCAGTGTAAACAGGCTCTGAAAGATTTGGCAGGAGAAGAGGAGAGAGTGGGAGGAGCTGGAGGGGAATGTGAAGTCCAGGAAAGAGATGATTGTTGCCATTTGAAGAGATCAGAGATTTGAACATGTTCAAATGATGAGGAGAAAGAGCTAATTACAGTAGCCAGACAGTCCCTGGGCCAGTTAGAGGTTGGAAATGCAATTTCTGTCACTCTGCACACAAACACAGCAACCCTCTTTTTTATATTCAATAATGTCCATCATTTTAAAACTCTGACTAGAAAAAAATAGAGAAATATTTGTAAAGCAAGGAATTGATCCAAGACCCAAGCTTGCGTTTTGGGCCTTCATATCTACTTTGGAGAGAATTGTGAGTTGAAGACCCAGGACATGCAAAGTCCCTAAAATAGGATCCAGAGGTTTGGAGGGTGCCCCCTTGCATTTCCTCTCTGACACCATTGATTGTGAGGTGTATTGGTACTGCATATGCCATCAGGAAAGGAAAATACACTGCCTGTGCACTGACATGTCATCCATTTTAAGACACATCCCAGCGTAAGTGATGGGAACATAGGAAGGGATGTGCGTCTTTGAGTGGATGGAATACAGTATCAGCCTTAGACAGGAGTAGCAGATGCGGGACAAAGAACAGGGTGACACATATATATCTGTAGTGACAGAAACCTTAAGTTTTTACTTGACAGCTTCTATTTCTTTTGTAGAGTAGTCAAGTTCATTTTCTGGGGATGGGGAGAAGTAGGAACAGGGAGATAAAGGCATTAGCAGCTCAGGAGTGGAAGATCTTTAAATGAATTGTTGACAGCACTGGAACAAGGCAGGCCCAGGAAGTTGCAGGAGTGACAGGAAGCAGTGAGGGTGTTTTGAGGCTAGGGACCATACATTCGGATGGTACCAAATTGAATGGTCACAAGATTTTCTTGAGAGATACTTAGCAATTTGAGTCAGGAAGTAGGGAGGGTAGACAGTGGGTTCATCCTGGACTGAAGACGTGTCAGGCACTGGTGACAGACAGACAGTGAGGCAAAGACCTGGAGGATACTGGCAGTGTAGACAGTGTAAGTGTTCACGTAGATGACCAAGTCTGTGTTGAGAGACAAATAGTGCAGGTAGACTGGAGCCAGTAACATAAAGGAAAACGGTACCATAGCATGAACCACCCCCCAGTGTTTACTTAAAATATTTCTGTAATATTTCTTCTACATAAAAGGTATGCACAGAGCTTGGTATAAACTCATTTTGTACATAGCTTTTACTCAACTATCAAACCAGTGATGTTTACAAATTGAGTAGAAAACCAAAAGTTTTTTAAAATAACAAGATTAATGTCCTGGATAATGATGTTTTGTGTACAAGGTGAGGTGAGATTGGCTATTGAGGCGCAGATTCTTTTGCACTTTACGTGTCGGCGTGCGTTACTACTCAAATTTGCGTTCGGCATGCTCATTAGTGAACCCTATTATTAGGTTATCACCCAACTCTTCTGCTCCTTTTTAAAATTTAAATGCCTATGAAATCTTTGTTTATGCAACTTACGCCAATGTGATTTTGGACCTTCACTTAATGCAAATTCATTATTCGCACAGTAGGCCCAACTGCACTGTTTCCCAGTAAATCTGTGGCAGAGCGTGGCAGAGCTACAGCTGCCATACCACACTGAAATTCAGCAGTATGGTAATACCTTGCTTGACAGCAGAGATACATTCTGAGAAATGCGTTGTTAGGCTGTTTTGTCATTATGCGATCATAGTGTGTACAAAAAGGATGGTGTAGGTTGCTGCTCACCTGCACCATGTGACGGAACCTAGGCTCCTAGGCTGCAAGCCTCTACGGTATGTTACCGTACCGAATACTGTAGGTAGTCGCAACACAATGGTAAGTATTTATGTTATCTAAACATAGAAAAGGTACAGTAAAAATATAAAGAATTTTTTTTTTTTTTTTGAGATGGAGTCTTGCTGTGTCGCCCAGCTGGAGTGCAGCGGCACGATCTCGGTTCACTGCAACCTCCACTGCCTGGGTTCAAGCAATTCCCTTGCCTCAGCCTCCCAAATAGCTGCCACTACAGGCGCGCGCCACCATGCCCAGCTAATTTTTTTTTTTTTTTTGTATTTTTAGTAGAGACGGGGTTTGACGATGTTGGCAAGGATGGTCTTGATCTCCTGACCTCGTGATCTGCCCGCCTCAGCCTCCCAAAGGGCTGGGATTACAGGCGTGAGCTATCGCACCCAGCCAGTATTAAGAAGGTTACCTTTGTAAAAGGTGACCTGTGTAGGGCACTTAACTATAAATGGAGCTTGCAGGACTGCAGCTGCTCTGAGGAGTCAGTGAGTGGTAAGTGAATGTGAAGGCCGAGGACATTACCATGTACTTCAGCCACACTAAACTTATTTTTAAAAATTTTTTTTCAGTAAATAAGCTTAGCTTTCTATAACTTTTTATTTTATAAACTTTTTAATTTTTTAAAGATTTTTCACTCTTATAATAACACTTAAAAAACACATTGTACAGCTGAACAAAAATATTTTCGTTTCTTTATATCTTTATTCTGTAAGCTCTTTTGAAAACCGAGATACAAACACACACATGAGCTGAAGCCTGCGTGGGGCCAGGATCATAGTATCACTGTCTTCACCTCCACATCGTGTCCCACTGGAAGATAACATGCCCGGAGCTTTCATCTCCTGTGATAACAGTGACTTCTGGATAGCTCCTGAAGGACCTGCCTTAGGCTGTTTTACATTTAACTGTTTTGTTAAGTGCAAGCAGTACACTCTAATAACAAAAATCATAGAAAATACATAAACCAGTAATATAGTTATTATGAAGCTTTATGTGCTACTGTATATAATGTATGGGCTAGACCTTTTTTTTTTTTTTTTTTTTTTGGAGACCCAGTCTTGCTGTTGCCCAGGCTGGAGTGCAGTGGCTCAGTCTTGGCTCCCTGCAACCTCTACCTCCCAGGTTCAAGTGATTCTCCTGCCTCTGCCTCCTGAATAGCTGGGATTGCAGGCACTTGCTACCACACCTGGCTAATTTTTTTTATTTTTTTAAATATTTTTAGTAGAGATGGGCTTCCCCATTTTAGCCATGCTGGTCTCAAACTCCTGACCTCAGGTGATCTGCCCACCTTGGCCTCCCTAAACTTTTTATATGACTGGCAGCATGGTAGGTTTGTTACTACCAGCATCAGCACAAACACATGAGTAATGTGTTGTACTACAATATAACGGCTGTGTTACTAGATAATAGGAATTTTTCAATTCCATTATAATCTTACGGGACCACTGTCATATATGAAGTCAGTTGTTGGCTAAAAACATCATTATTTAGCTTTAGTTATTCATGTAACCCAGAATGCACCAATATATATTTTATATATTATCAGAGTTAAAAATACGTGTAAATTAATGGACACCTGAAGACTCCATCATTTTTATAAATATTGAACAAGGGCAGTGGTTCTCATAGGGAGGTGCCGGACCCAGCAGCATTAGCATTGTCTCAGTAACTATCAGAAATGCAATTCTGGCCAGGCATGGTGGCTCAGCCTGTAATCCCAGCACTTTGGGAGGCTGAGGCAGATGGATCATTTGAGGTCAGGAGTTCGAGATCAATCTGGCCAACCTAGTGAAACCCCATCTCTACTAAAAATACAAAAATTAGCCAGGCCGTGGTAGCCTTTGCCTGTAATCTCAGCTACTCCAGAGGCTGAGGCAGGAGAATCACTTGAACCTGGGAGGCAGAGGTTGCAGTAAGCCAAGATGGCACCACACTGCCGTCCGGCCTTGGTGACAGAGCGAGACGCCTTGTGAAAAGAAACAGAAAGAGAGAAAAAGAAATGCAAATTTCCAGTTTCTCCTTGCTCTTTGATATTGAACAGAAAGTCTGGAGGTGGACACCAGGCGTCTGGGCTCTGTTAGCCCTCTAGGTGATTGCGATGCAAACCAAGTATGAGAACTGCTGCTCCAATCTTACTGTATCACCTTGATTTTATAGATGAGGAAACCAAGGCCCAAGAATGACTGGCTGAAACTCTCAAGATCAGTTTGTGTGTAACAAAACTAGATCTTAAACTTGGAAGTCTAGACTTTGCTCCAGTTCTGTTTCCAAAGCACTACATTGTCATTTTTTTCCTCAGGTTTTGGTTATGGTTTCCTTGGTTTGGGTTGGGTTTTAAGGGGGTCTAACTAAAGTTTTGGGTTCTTTTGCCTTTTGTTCATTTTAGTGCCAGAACCTACTAAGACCTGTTCAAGCCAGCCCCAACCTGCCGGTACCAGTACCAGTACTTCCACCAGCACTATCTCCAGCAGCAACAATGGCAAACGTGCATCTGCCAGTGGCCAGCAGCCAGCTGCATCCCGTTACCTGCCTCGAGAGGTGCCTCCACGCTTCCGCCAGCAAGAACAGAAGCAGCTATTAAAGAGAGGTCAGCCATTGCCTACGGGGACTCTAACCAGTGTGAGCCCAACCCAGGGAGCTGGGCCTGCAGGGGTAAGCCCACCTCCCCTATCTGGAGCCGGAACACAGCATCATCCCAGTAAGCTCCAACCAGGTAAAATCCATATAGGATGAGATATTCTTTTGATCTGAAAACTGTTTGCTATTTTCAGCTTTGCTGCTGAGCAATAGAAATAGACATATTTTGGTCCGTACTCACTACATACACAGAGACAGGCAGATTCAGTGTTCTTCAAAACTGTGACTTTGTTGTATGGTCAGAACTAATATTTTTAGACAACTTTACCATGACTCTTCAAATAGTCTTGACTTTCATCTGCTTACCACTTGGTAGAGGGGATGTAAGTCGATGATTGTCACCAAAAAGCAAGGCAGAAAAGATAAACTATATTCACTGACCAAGAATATAGTCTCTTCTATTTAGTTGCCAGCAGTTTATAATAAAACATGCTACTTCCCCAAAATGGTCCTTGGGAAAATCTTAACAAAGACAAGCATTCTATAGTTAGACCTAAGTAGCTTGGTGTTTTAATTTAAAGAGCTTATTTTGAAAAACCAAATAAGAAATGTAACAACTCTGCCTTTTCTGGTTGTATCTGGTTGTGATGTGATTGGTTGACTATTGCGTTAGTGTTCTCATCAAATGCTGCTGGTGCAGGATGTTACTGATATCTTCTTAGATAAGTAGAAAATAAGCAATTAAGTCAATAAAATCTTGGTACGATAATATTCCTTCATGAATTATTTGTCTTTGTAAATATGATCACATATGACAAGAAACTATTCCTAGTTCATAGCCCTTATAAAATACATATTGTAGGCTAGGCCCAGTAGCTCATGCCTGTAATCCCAGCACTCTGGGAGGCCGAGGCAAGTGGATCACCTGAGATTGGGAGTCTGAGACCAGCCTGACCAACAGAGAGAAACCCTGTGTTTACTAAAAATACAAAGTTAGCTGGGCATGGTGGCGCATGCCTGTAATCCCACCTATTTGGGAGGCTGAGGCAGGAGAATTGCTTGAACCTGGGAGGCAGAGGTTGCATTGAACCGAGATCATGCCATTACACCCTCTAAAGTCTCTGATATCGTAGCCAGATGCATCTTTCTGACTCATCACCTTTCATTGATGAAGGGTCCCCTCACAAACCTGCCCTGGTCACCTAGGTACTAAAGCACAAACTCCATTTTTCTGCCTGACTGTGAAGACCCTTCATAGCCAAGTCTCCCCAACATTTTTCCCTCCTACTCTCCATGGCCTTTTTTTCCTTTTCTTTTTCCTTTCCTCTTTCCTTTTTCCTTCCCCCTCCCCTCCCCTCCTCTCCCCTTCTCTTTTTCATGTTACAGTTGTTTAATCAATTCATATCCAGGTGAAATTCTTTTAGTGTATTCCTGAAGAGTAACCAGATTTCTGGGTTGCAGTAAAACTTTTTTTAGATACAGTTTGAAACAAAAGCTCTTAAAAGTAATACATAGGGCTAGGCGTGGTGGCTCACGCTTGTAATCCCAGCACTTTGGGAGGCTGAGGCATGAGGCAGGTGGATCACCTGAGGTCAGGAGTTTGAGACCAGCCTGACCAATATGGTGAAACCCCATCTCAAAAAAAAAAGGTAAAACATAGATTTTTATTGTATTTGTATCTATGTAAGCATGTTTTCACTCTTACCGTCACTTCTACATTAAAAGGAAAAATATAGTTTTATATGATTACATTCCTCTAACTTGAAAGGTATAATTAAAAAGAAGTACAGATGCTGGGTCAACAGAACTAAGACTAAATTAACCAAGCAGGGGGCAGGTGAGTAATCCTTAGGAATTTCATAGCACACCATTCCTAATGAAAAACAACGTGAAACTGGGAGTTATTTCAGCTTAGCACATTAATTTCTGTGTTTTTCCCAGGTGTGTTAGTATGTAAATTCTTTGCTCCCTCCCCCCAAGTTAAATGTGCTTAGAAGGTGACGTATTCGTGGAAAGAATTGGAGTTTGAGTCACCTTTGTCATAGCTTTAAAAACTTGCACAGTGTCAACCTTTGAAGATTCGTGGGCATCCTTGGTTCTCCATCACTGAGTATTTGACCAGTCACCTGCTGCCTTCCCATGGAAGGAGATTGTTACAGGCTCCTGCTATACTAATGGAAGACTTATGTGTCCATTCCAGTAAACGAGAGGATTTATGGATAAAATTAAACAGCAGAGGGGCAGAAATGGGAAAGTTTTAAGAGTTAAAAATGGAATTTGTAGCGTGTTTAGCTTTGTACATATAGATAAAATTTATATACTGTTACAGTACAAGGCAACTGGTGAAATTAGAAAAGAGATTTATATAGGCCAGGCGCAGTGGCTCATGCCTGTAATCCCAGCACTTTGGGAGGCCGAGGCAGGCGGATCACCTGAGGTCAGTAGTTTAAGACCAGCCTGGCCAACATGGTGAAACCGTGTCTCGACTAAAAATACAAAAATTAGCTGGGTGTGGTGGTGCATGCCTGTAACCCCAGCTACTCAGGAGTCTGAGGCAAGAGAATCACTTGAACCCAGGAGGCAGGGGTTGCAGTGAGCTGAGATCACGCCACTGCATTCCAGCCTGGGCAACAGAGCAAGACTGCATCTCAAAAAAAAAAAAAGAAAAGAAAGAAAAGAGACTTAGCCTTACAGTTATTTCATTGTTCTTTTTCTTTATATAGCACACGCCTCCTAACAGGATGTAAATCAGTAGATTTGTCTGGCTCTTACGACATTTTGTCATAAATAATTCACCTTTCGATTTACATTAGTCTGCAAGCTTGTTTCTATAGAAAATTGCAGCTACACGTTTTGCCATTTTTTTAGACAAACTAGTGTGGTAACTTCACACTTTTTCACTCTTTTTCCTTTTCTTCTGTCAGAATGTTCAGGCAGCAGTGCTACACTGAGCTTGCACAGCCCTGAGAAGGGCGGAAAGTACTAGCCGTTCAGAACTGTGGTTTTACCATGTATGTCTTCATGCATTCACCGAGCAGCACGTTTACTGAATTCCTACCAAACATCAGATACACTGCACTGGAGATACACAATTCTTGAGTGACGTGTTTTGGAATAACCGATAAGTAAATAAGCTACTTCCAGGTGTTGTAACAGAGATAAGCATAGAGTGCCATATGGAAAGGACAACCAACCCAAACTACAGATAGGGGACTGCAAGGAAGCCTTCCTGGTGGAAGTGATATGGGCTAAGTTTCAGGTTAGCTGTGCTGGGCAAAAAAGGTGGAAGGGCATCGCAGTTGGAGTGACCTACCTGCACAAATGCACAGGCCGGCCATTGTAAAGCCTCTCAGCAGCTGCTGCTGGCTCATCATGGCAGCGGGGCAGCAGGAAGATCGAAGGCTAGAAAAGTTGGCTGTTGTTATTACTAAACCGTAGTAATAAACCAGCATAAAAGCTTCTTTTGGTAATAGAGCCAAATTAAATTCAAATTTTAATGCTTCCAACAAGTTGCTTTTGGGACTTGATAGACTAATTCTGAAGTTCATCTAGAATAGCAAATGTACATGAATAGAAGAGTCAAGAAACTTTTGAAAAAGCTTAATGAGCTGTCACCTGGAGCTGTGATCCTATAGTAATTTCAACAGTGTGTTTCTAGGGCAGGAGTAAACACACAGATCCATGAACTACGATATAGAGAGAGCAGGGGGAAAAGTAGATGTATACACAGAGACTTGGGTTATCATGGATATGGCATTGCAGATCACTGAGAAAATAGTGATTCAGATCAATATCGAGTGCTAGAAAGCCATATGCAAGACAAATATAAGAAGTACAGAAAGATGATGTAAGAGAATATTTTCTAAATCTTGGGATAAAATTTTAATCATAAGCCATGAAAAGAAAGACTGACAAATTTGAGTGTGTAAAAATATAAAATTTTTGAACAAGAATATGAATAAAATCCAAGAGGATATATTTACAGTATAAATAGCAAGAGTTAAATATCTCAAAAATACCAAGCTTTCCTACAAATCAAAAGAAAAACAGTCCAACAGAAAAATGGGCAAAGAATGTGAACAGGCAGATCATAGAACTACCATAAATGGGTCCTAAGTATGTTGAAAGTATTTCCTTGTAATCAGGGAAGAGATAAATGGAAACAACATTGATAGAGCACTTTTCACTTACCAAATTGTCAAAACTTTAGATCTTGTTAATATCCCTCTATTATAATAACAACTGTACTATTGATTGAGTGCTTACCATTTACAAGATCCAATTGCTTTACACATATTAACTTATTTAATCTTCTCAAGACCCTATAACCACCGCAGGCGATCGTCGAGAGTGTGGGAAAGGGCGGCACTGGTGTGCTCTTGGTCGGAATGTAAGTAGGCATTTGGCAGGATTTATCAAAATGTTGGGTGATATGACCTAGCTGTTCAGACATAGGAATCCATCCTGCAGACACCTAGAGCACAGCTCTTTACTGACAACTGAATGCTCTGCGGTTGTTCTCTCCCCAGTGGCATGAACTAATGACAGGCAAGTTGGGACGTGTCAAGAGACAGTAGGGACCAAAACAGAATTGACTGTTCTTTACAGAACAGGCTCAGGTGTAGATAGAGTTAATCTTCCAGTGAGCAGCAGTCTCACTTTATGTGACAATAAAGAGTGGCCTGTGTTCAAGAACCAGTTGAACTTTTGCTAGGTCACAGGTCTCCACAGGACAGCAATTTCAAATCTTGCTCCCCAACTCCCTACCTCTTATCAGGTCAGCCATCCCCTCTGTTCTCTGTGTCAGCTTCTTGCCGCCACCCATATTAGCCAGGCATTGGGCAGAAGCTTTATTGGTTTTGTATCATTATTGATGTCAACAAGTATCCCATTTTAGAAGGTAACCAAAACTTCTAATACTTACATACAGAAATAAGTCCTAGATAGTTTTAGTGTTCGATAATACTGATGTTGAAGTGAGATTCAGTCAAATGAAAACAATTTTGTGATGGGCTGACAATTCTGAACGGAGCTTTTCAGCGTCCTACTGACCCTCCTACCAGAGGGTAATGCTGTGGCTGTTCTCAGGAAGCATCCTGTGGCTGCCATCCCTCGTGGGAAAAATGGGCTCTCACA